AGTCTAATTGAATTAGACCAATTTTGTGAAGCAAATCGGAAAACTTGGCTTCACTTAGTGGTTTTGTGAAGATATCCGCCAGTTGTTCTTCAGTTGAGATATACTCAATTTTGATATCTTTCTTTTCCACATGATCTCTGATGAAGTGATGCTTGACATCAATGTGCTTAGTGCGAGAATGATGCACTGGATTTTGAGAGTTGGCTATAGCACTTTGATTGTCACAAAAGATTGTCACTTCCTTTGTCTTGACTCCATAGTCCAGTAGTTGTTGCTTTAGCTACAAAATTTGAGCACAACAACTACCAGCAGCAATGTACTCTGCTTCTGCTGTTGATGTAGAAATGGAGTTTTGTTTCTTACTGAACCAAGAAACAAGATTTCCACCAATGAATTGACAAGTACCAGATGTACTTTTCCGGTCAACTTTGCATCCGGCAAAGTCAGAAATCTGAGTATCCCACTAACTCAAACAAATTGCTAAGAATCCTTGAGGTATCTTAGCATACCACAATCCCATGTTTTGAGTTCCCTTGAGGTATCTAAGAATCCTTTTAGCTGCTATTAGATGACTTTCCTTTGGTTTTGACTGGAATCTAGCACAAACACCTACTGCATATGAGATATCCGGATGGCTTGCAGTAAGGTAAAGTAGAGATCCGACAATTCCTCTGTAGAGAGTTTGATCTACATCCTTTCGATCTACATCCATATCAAGCTTGGTGGATGTCCTCATGGGGACAGAAACGGATGACTTCTGATCAACTTTGAACTTCTTGATAAGATCCCTTGTATACTTAGCTTGATTGATGAGAGTGCCTTCACTTCTCTGTTTGATCTGAAGGCCAAGGAAGTAGTTGAGTTCCCCCATCATGCTCATCTCAAATTTTCCTTGCATGAGGGTTGAGAACTTGGTGCAGAGATCTTCCTTTGTTGATCCAAATATGATGTCGTCCACATAGATTTGGACCAATAAGAGATCTTCACCATCTTGTAGTTTGAACAAGGTCTTGTCAATGACTCCTTTGGTAAATCCATTGTCTATAAGAAATTGAGACAATGTATCGTACCAAGCTCTTGGTGCTTGTTTGAGTCCATACAGCGCCTTTTTAAGTCTATACACTTGATCTCCCTTAGTGTGTAACTCAAATCCTGGAGGTTGTTCCACATAAACTTCTTCCTCGAGGTTTCCGTTGAGAAATGCGCTTTTGACATCCATTTGGTAGACCTTGAAGTCCTTGTGAGCAGCAAAGGCTAGAAACAGCCTTATAGCTTCAAGTCTAGCAACTGGAGCGAAGGTTTCATCAAAAT